AAACAATGGCAATGGGTATATGTATTCAAAAGAGAAGACGTATTGGAGACAAGGCTCAGAGCATATACCGCTCTTGCAGAGGACCCCGGTTGGTTCACAGCACCCACATCTGGTTCACAATCACCTTCTAGTCCAGCTCTAGGGGATCTAACTCCGTCTTTGGCTTCCGGAGGCACTGCATTGATGCGCACATCCCATCCCCCATACACAATTAGAAATAACAAAAATAAATATTAAATAGATAGAAAATGTGTTAAAATGTTAGCAATTAGAGTATCTGGCTTAAGGACATAAGATAGTTGTATCTATTACTTTGCAGCTTTTCTGTGCAGCCATTCACATTATTTCAAGCTTTGTGTGTGTGTGTGTGTGTGTGTGTGCGTGTGCATGAATGTATATGAGCATACATGTGTGTGAGAATGTGTGTATGTATTTGAATGTGTATGAACATGTGTGTGTGTGTGTGTGTGTGTGTGTGTGTATGTGTGTGTGTAAGACAAGGTCTATCTGCATAGTCCTGGCAATTCTCTGTTATAGAAATGAATTTGCAGTCCAAGTAGCAGGTAACAGATAAGGACAGACATAAAGATAAACATATTATCTGTCACTGAACTTAAAAAAGGAAGGGTTGAAATTAATATGCATATATATATACATATACATATACACACATATGTTGTTTACTTAGATTTCCAGAAAGAAGTCAGTTTTTCTTCAAATAACCACATGGGGTTATAAAGAATTAATGCATAAGCGTTCTTGAACATCATCTCCTTCTCTAAGGTTAGCAAGTTGGCCCTTGAGCTTGGGTTTCTTCTCTGGACCACAGCCCGGAACTAATCCTGAGAGTCGTAGCATCAATCCATGTTTCACAACACCAGACTTTCCAGATTCAGAAAATTAAGGATACAGAAAACCTGTCAACAGAAACCTGCTGTTGACAAGACCTGGGGAAGCTACAAACCCCAAGGTGCTAAAGTGGAGGAGGGGTACTGCGTACCCAACATGCTTCAGTTCCCCCAAGGCCACTAAAAACCTGTTTCTGGTCAAGCCACAAGGCCTGAGTCTCTCCTATATATGAAACTTGATGGCTTTGGGGGTATGGAGACAGGTAGACCTACTTTGGGGTATGGGAGTAGTTGGACCTACCTTGAGGTGTGGGAAGGGTGGACCTACCTTGGGAATATCTTAGGAAGATCCATAAACAAGTAAGGCCCAACTCTCATTCTCTGAGTGTGTAGCACATACCTACAATCCAGGCCTTGGAGAGTTAGAGGCAGGAGGATCACTGTCTTGGCCCTGGGCTCCATGGTAAAAGCCTGCTTCTCTCTTCTGTCCATGCTGGGCTGAGAGCTACAGGTGGCCACTGCCAGCTGCGCTGCCCAGCACGTGGCTGTTAGCACTGTTAGGGTTGGATGCCCTTGTGTAATTATATCACATAAACAATTCTTAAAAATAGATTAGAAACTGTAAGTACGGTCTCACCGATTCTTTGGGGAAATAGCCATAGGGCTAAGGAACCCAACTGTCTGCGTCCTGTACGCAGTCCTAAGTACAGTTAGGAAAACCGTTCAACTTCAAGAGTATTTTTATTAGAGAAAATCATACAGCCTTCTCCTCACAGTCTTGAAAACTGTCAGCCATTTTTGTCTGTGGTCAAACCTTTCCATGTTTCTTTAAAGCAACGATGCAACGAACCGTAAAACCAGTCGGTTGCTGGAAGACATCTTTTTTTAGGTGGGCAGCATGAAGAGATGGACCCTTCACTAACTTATTAATGAGAAGAATCCAGGTATCACAGCAAGTGGAGGAGGAAAGGAATTGCCTAGCTCTCAAGACGGGGCCAGAGGAAAGGGACCTGCTACTGCCGCTGTTCTCATTTTGTTTGTCTTAACTTGAAATCTCTCTCCCTGTCTCTCACATGCATCCTCCACCTCTCGGTTTTCCCTGAAACCCAGGAGGTTCTCAAGTCCCACGTTGGATGGTGGTGAGGTGGAGGACTCTCCCACACACTACATTCCATGTTCAGTGTTCACCCGCTTCCATCTTTCCTCCTACCCCAGACTACTTCCTGAGAGAGGGTTCTCGACTTGCTCCCTGCATCTGCTGCTGTTTCCAGCTCTGTCTTCTCACTCTGCCCTCTTCCCCTGCCCAGGAGTATCCCCCACCCCGCGTGGGGCCAGTCTTCAGCTCTCCTGGGCCCCTTCTCCTGCGCAGTACCCATCCCCTGCAGTGGGTCTCCGCTTGCTGACATCTGACTGAGCAGCTTGACCCACTGGACCTTCTTTGGTCAAGGATGCTCTTCCCGGATCCCACATCCTTCTTCCTTCGCTCTTCAGCTCTACCTTCCTGCTTGCTCTGTCGCTGCCCGTTTCATGACTACTTGGCCTTTATACCCATGCCCCCATGTTCAACTGTTCCTTAGGGTTCCAGATTTGAATGCTCCGTATGCTTTCTTTACTGTTCTATGTAGGTGTATGGTGTCTACGTGTGAGTTCACACATGCCTTAGTGTGTGTCGGCCAGAGGACAGCTGTCAGGAGTCAGTTCTCTCCTACTGTGCTAAGGTTGTCTCTGCCATGCTCTGTCCTCCAGGCTAGCTGGCTCTAGAACTTCTGCCTGAGTCATTGCCCTGACTCTATCTCCCACCTCATTTCAGGAGAGCTGGGCTTACCGATGTGCACCACCACGCCTGCCTCTTTGAAAATGTGGGTTCTCCGGGTCGAGTTCGCATTATTGGGCTTGCATGGCAATTGCTTTTACCCACTGAGTCAACTCACTTTTGATCCTCGCTCCACCGCCTCTGCTCTCGGATTAATTGCCTTTACCCTCCTCCTCCATCCTGACTGAGAGTCTTCAGGTTGACCTAGACTAGAAGACTCCTATCCTCTGGCCCCCTGTTTTTCCTTCCTCTCTTTCATCTTCCATATGCAAGTGACCTTTAAACCGTAACCCTTTCCCGTCCACCTGCCCTGGTTCCTTGCCCTGCTAACCACTTTGGTTGAGGCTCCGGGGTCCCAGCTCTCATCTCCAGCTTCTTCCCATTATGAACACCTCCTTGGGAAAACATCAGAATTTTCCTACTACAGCTGAAAGTGAGTCTTCCAGCAGCTGGTCCGTGTCTACCTTTCCAGTCCTGTACTCTGATGTGGATGTTCCTACTAACCATCTCGAGTCAGTACTCCAATTCTAGTGGGAATAGCCTTCTGATGTCTTTGGCAAATGCTCCTCATCTTTTAAAACCCAGCTCTGTGACCACCTCCAGCAAACTCGCCAAAGCAAGTCGACAGATGCTCTTTCTCCTATGTAGACCTTAGCCTGAGTTGCCGCCCACCTCTCTGTCTGCTACCTGCTTCGTGAAATATGTCGGCTCAAAGACAGAAGAGACTACCAGACAAATCTCGCAATAACTGGCGGTCAGAATTGTATTGGATCCTAATGACATCAGAAACCACCGTGCTCCCTGATGTGGAGTGCACACAGCATTGCTCACAACGCAGGAGAATGGGACCAGTGAGAAACCAGTCTCCTGGGAAGTAACATGTCCGTAAAGACCCTGCCAACGCGTTCCAAGCCCAGAAATCCGGCAGCATCTCTTGGCGCCACGTTTCTCTTTCCCTCCACTCTGACAGCCTACCTTCCTCCACTGCCTGCTGACAAAGCCCACGTCATATCCTCTGTGGGAATGGATCCACCCAGACAAGGGCTCACCAGACTCTTCAGAACCTCCGCCAAGGCTCCTTCCTAGCCAACTGCACTGCATTCCCACCTTGCCAGGGACAACACTGACCTTGTATTTATGCAAAGTCTACTCCAGTTCCAGAGTTTTCACCCCGGACGTTATCCCTTTTGTTTGGATAGCCCCAGTTATCCCTTGTGAGGGTTGATTGACCCACAGTAAGTTCTGATTTTCCCAGTAGCTGTCCCCAAGCTCCCCTATCTCCTTTCATGACAAAGCTCAACTTCAAGTGTTCTACCCTTCCACCAAGCCAGGCTTCACCTCTACCACCTGCCCTGCTATTAGAGATACCAAGGGCTCCACATCAACACAGATCCCCACTCCCCATCAGTAGCATTGGCTCAGCTGATCAAGCCCTGCTCTTCAAAACTGCGCATTCACTTGGCTTCCAGCATACAGTACTCCTTTGTCCCGTTACAGCCGCCGCTCCTTGGTCTTACTGGTTGGGTCTTCCTCATTGTCTTCACCTTCTCAACCTCTGACCTCTAAATGTTGAGTTACTCCAGATCCTAATCCACAAGTCTCCCCAACCCCACTCCAGGACCACTCTCCTAAATTGTAATACCTGTTTCCTATTATAGCTCAACTTTTCCACCTAGCTGTCTAGGAGATGCCCAAACCCAGTGCTTGAGTTTCCCTCCTATATCCATTCCTTCTGTAGTCTTACCTCACTAAATAGAATCTCCACTGACTGAGCCACTCAGTCCTCAACCCAGAATTTCCTGAATTCTTTTCCTTCACATTCTACAATGGGATCATCAGTAAATCCTGCCCAATCGATTCCTTTGTAAACATATCTGGATTCCAGCTGCAACCTCCTCTGCCCATCCCAATGCCTGCTGCCTGCTACCTGCTCTCTCGCTTCTGTTCCTGTCTCCCCTCTGCCAAGCAAACAGAGTGACTCTTTGGAGCTGAGGCCAGGTGTGCAGAAGCTCTTGTGTCTTTCCATTTGCTCAATAATGTCAGGACCCATGTTCTGTCCTCGCCAGGAGGCTGGGCAGGAACGTCCCCACAGAATGTCTGCTCCAGGGAGAATGAGATCAGAAAATCAGAGACCCAAGGTTGGTCCAAGCTCTGAGGCTTTGCCTCCCATGAAAGCCTGCTGGTGCCCCCCTCCCATGAAAGCCTGCTGGTGCCCCCCTGGCTACCGTGCCTGCTGGTGCCCCCCTCCCATGAAAGCCTGCTGGTGCCCCCCTGGCTACTGTGCCTGCTGGTGCGCCCCTCCCATGAAAGCCTGCTGGTGCTCCCCTGGCTACCGTGCC